TCTGGAAAGAGCGTTTCCACAATCGATTTAAGCTCCAGACGATCCGTCGGCTGCATCTGTTTATCTGCGTATAGTCTTTTAACTACTGTTTTATGTGCCCTGCCCCAAGGGTCATATTCGGCTGAGCAGAACAACTCTGGAAAGCATTCTCTTTTACTTGCCCGAATGGCCTTCTTCAATTGTCGTTGTTACTTGTTTGTTTTTGAAAATGTAGGTAACAGGCAGAAGTATAAGTGGCTAGTCCCATAAAGTATATACAAACTTTCCCGATCAAGGCGACGACCTGAATCGATATAAGCAATTCTGTCTTTCCGCCCGTTTATCCAATCAGTAATGAAATTAATGTTTACTTTATGGAAAAATGCCCCGAATCTTTTAATTATGGTTTTATTACATTACAGTTTACAATTTTATATATCGCATCAATATTTGTTTATGCTTTACCATTTTATACAAAATTTCCACGTAAATTTTTTTTTTTTTTAGGTTTCAACTTTGGCTGATATATCCAAGGCACAACGAAGATCATTTATTAAATCATCCGAGTCCTCTAGTCCGACGGACAAACGAATAAGAGCATCAGTAATACCCAACGCTTTTCGGTCTTCAAAAGGAACAGAGGCGTGTGTCATGATAGATCTAAAAAAATTAGATTAAAAAAGACTTGGTTATTGCATTATGTAGAGGTATAGTATCTAATATGATTGATAAGTGCGCTGTATTAATTTTAATGCATTTTATAAATTTACGGGTACTTACGGTAGTTCAGCCAAACTCTCATATCCTCCAAGACTCTCGGCCAATGTGAACACTTTTAGGGCTTTTAAAAATGCTGTGGAATGCTTTAGGGATCCTTTTATATAAAAGGAAAACACTCCACTGTAGCCATATGTTTGTTTAAGAGCAATAGCATGATGGGGATGGGATTGCAGTGCTGGATGGAGAACTTTTTCAACAAAATTATGCGATTCAAGAAATTTTGCAATCTCGAGTGCATTTTGCTGATGCTTTTGCATGCGCAATGATAATGTTTTCAGACTACGATTAACTTGATAGCAATCAAACGGAGATGGAACGATACCAACCGCTGAAAAAATAAATAATAATAATATAAAATAAATAGTGGTTATTAATAATAATCTTAGTCTTACCGTTTTGTAAAAATTTTAATCTATTATATAGATCATCAGAGTTCATTGTTATTCCGCCCATAACAACATCCGTATGTCCATTCATATATTTTGTTAATGAATAGCAAACTAGGTCCGCCCCCAAATCGAGAGGTCTTTGAAAGTATGAGGTAAGAAATGTATTGTCTACCGCTACAATTATATCTCCGGCCTGATGGCATATTTTTGCAATCGCTTCGATGTCCGCTACTTTTATGAGTGGATTTGTTGGTGACTCAATCCAAACCAGCTAAAAAAAAAAGCATTTAATACAAATGTAATTCTATACACAATTAATTTTTTTTATTTGATAAGAGTGATTATGCTTATAAACAAAGTTACGTATTTTGAGCAAAGAAACTTGTAATATATACTTGGATACAATGAGCAAGATCAAAACAAGCTAACGATAACCTACTGCAAAGTTTGGATACTTACGTTCCAAAAATGAAAAAAATACAGGGTATTTGTCGAATTACCACGCCCCTAAAGGGGCGTAATACTATAATTTTGGGAATCGATAGAGGAGGTTACCAGTAACTTAACTATCGAAATTTTAATTTAAGAAAAGTACTATATATATCTTCAGGTCCGATTTGCCCCTAGTGGGCGTAGACATATAATATCTTCATTAATCTTTATAGAATCATAACATTAGCTCATGTGCAATTTTAACGCTCTAGCTTAAAAACGCCCCCAATGGGCGTAAATATATCCGCCATTGCTCGTGATCTTGGATGGTCGGCGCGGGTCTATACTCCAAATTTCAGCTTTCTAGCTCATCAACCAATACGATTTCTGGTATATCGGAAGATGCATTTTCCGATTTGCCACGCCTCTAGTGGGTGGATTGGGACAATTTTAACACTTTATAAATCGGAGATATACACGAGCTTATGTTCCGAGACTTTAGCTTCAATAGCGCCGGAATAAACTGCGTTCATACGGACAGACGGACGGCCATTGCACAAAACCAATTTTTCATTTCACTTTCTTGAAGTATCCTAACTTAGCAGTTGGGTTACCGATAGCTTGCTCTATAAGCTGTCCAAAAATTGATTGCTAATGAGGTCATGAGGTAATGAACCCATCGAAAATGGGAAATCAGGGTATAATGGTTTTTTTGAAATGTATGTAACAGACAGAAGGAGGCCCACAAAGTATAAATATTCTTGATCAGGGCGACGGGCTAAGTCAATTAGGCCCTGTCCGTCCGTCTGTCCGTATGTAGGAACGCGTTGATCTCAGAAGATATTAGAGCTAGAGACTTCAATTTTTTTTTTTAATGTTCGTATCTATCGCGCGCATAACGAGATTATCAATAAAAAACGAGTGATAGATTATCACTCACTCCGATATTTTTTTTTATAAAAAACCTTTTCGAAGATCAGTTATAAAATTATATCTACCAAATCTTTAAATTTAAAATGTATATTAGGAAGAATTTTATACAATTTCGGTTTTTGTTAAAATTTAACACCCCTCCTATATCCACCCCCTCACCATCATATTTGTAAACAAGTAAGAACGTTGCAGTCGGGCGCTACCGACTGCGGAATACTCATTCA